GGCATCATGCTTGTAAGGATGGAGGGACAGCACTCCTGCGGAAGACCCAGGATGAGATGGATTGACACAGTAACTGAGATAATGGTAGTAGGTGTGTTGGAGACAGTGAAACTAGCTCAGGATAGGGCAGGGTTAGGAGTTGTTTTATATAGGGTTGCTATGAATCTCAATTTGATGGCATACATAATAACAAAAACAGGGCCTTCTAGAAGAATTATTTGTATACTTATCTTACCTCTTTTCTGACTTGTAAACTTTTAGAGTGTTTAAATGTATAGATAAAATAAATCTTCCCCCTATCTTTACCTAATGAATGAAAGCATTACCTAATTAAGTAAGTGGGGCAAACAAATAAACCAGCATATTCAAAATTGGAGCTGGATCAACTAACCACAGATCTTGTGAGAAAGATGGACTTTATTCATTTTTCCATGTATTCAGACTTTTTATTACCTATTTCTCTTTCTCTGGTCACACATCTTATCCTTGAAAAGAAATGAATAAAAAGGAAACTGAGAGTTCTTAATATTATGAAGAATATTGTGAATGTGTCTATTGTGAACTTGTTTTTACCTAAACAAGAACACATATATGTTACAAGTCATATCTCTATAGAATACCATCCTGGTTCCTGTAATGACACAAGCAGACAGAGACAATTTTAGACTTTGCCATACAAAAGATGTTGGGAAGACAGATAGCATCCTTACCCACAAAGGGATTCCAGACACAAAAGAATGTGCAGAGTGGTCATTCCAGTGCTGGGACACAGAGTGCATGTGATGCCAGGGGCACCTTATTTTCACCTTATAGACCTTGAGTCAGAAGTACTTAGCTCACTTGATTTCCCAAGGAAAAAGGCATAATCTCTGAAATCCTCAGGGGTCCTAAATTCTCTTAAGTCTTATCAAGACTGTGGCATTCCCAGAGGTCATAGGGCTCTAAGGGAAAATAGGATGTTAGGTTTTATATGTTTTTGGGGATAAGTTGCCTTTATAATGTTTGAACCTCAAAGAAGATTATCCAGAAAAGAAGTCCCATGCCAGATAGCTATTTCAACCAGAAGTTGGAAATTTGTTCTAAAACAATTGAAAATAAAGCCAAGATTTAGATATGTGCAGAATTTAAAATAAATTTTTAGTCGTTTATTATACTGACTTACGAAACAGTAAATGGTCATTGATTCAAGTGTCATGTTCTCTATGCACTCAGCAATACTTGAAATTACGATTTTGTTGGGGTTTTTTATTGCAGTGATTTTTTGAAAAATCAGGATCATAATTCACAGACAATTCCATAGTGCTTTGTCCCCTTTAAAAACATATCATGAATATTCCATAATATTCCATCAATAATAAGATGACTTCCAAAGTTAGCATAATATTCTACTACATGGTAAAATCATTCTTTTACACAGTTGGTCCTTTAATTTAGGATATTAAGGGTTTTTTTACAATACGTCATTTAAATTTCTTTATATTACTCTGATTTATTTACAAAGTTTGAATACATTATTTTTCAGAAAGTTCCTTCCCATTTCCTTTGCCCCACCCACCAAATATGCCATTTTTATGATATCATAATAAATATTACAATAAATATTAATATAGTCATGTTAATTCCATAGGGAAATCTATAGATATGGAAGTGTTGCATCAAAATGAAACAATTTTTAAATTATTTATATTGCCAGAATTTCCCCTGGAACAGTTGCACAAAAACATTTCTATCTGTATTTTGAACAACGGTAATTATATGTGTGGTTCTTTTCAGGGAGACTTGCTAGGAGTAACTAGTCTCTGTCAATCCTGGAATTGTTTCTCTTGCATTGTTTTCACATTATTTTTAAATCCCCTGAAGTAGTTTTTAACAAATTACCAGTTGTTGTTGAATGGGTTTTGACTCATGATCACATGTACAACAGAACAAAATGTTACCTAGCCTTACATTGCCCTCAGAGTCCTTGGAGTTTTTAAATCCATTGCTGCACTACTGTGTATTTTGAGTGCTTTCCAAATCAGGTCACTCATCTTCCAGTGCCATCTTGGACAATATTTTGTTGTAATCCACAGGTTCTTCACGGATTAATTTTTAGATCCCTAGACCTTTCTTCCTAGTCTGGAAACTACTAAAATCGACTCATCATGAGTGACCCTAATGTTATTGTTGTTGTTGTCTTTGAGTACGACTGATAGCAACCCTATGAACAAAAGGCCTAAAGCCTTTCTGTAACTATTGACATTTATCAAAGTTCATGGAATTTCTGGAGGCATGTTGTTTAGGAAGTGGATACCATTTCTGTTTCCATATAGTTATTAAAATATCGATGACATAGTTTCCAGCATCATAACAACATGCAAACCACTACACTACAACAAACTGACAGACAGGTGGCAGTGGTTCTAATATATAAAGCCATTTTTCTCCCTATTTTGAGCCTTCTTTGATCAGGTTAATGCACTTTTGCAGTAGCTCCAGGACTGTGGGTATCTTTATTACCTTTCCTGAAACCAATATTACTAACTCCTATATCTCCAGCTAAATCTATTACCTCATTTTTCCTGAGTATATCCTCAAATAACTTATGTAGAAAAGTTATTATGTAATTTAAATTTCTTTAATTTTAATATATCTTCACTATTTTTACTATTATTAATACTATAATGTATATAAACGTCCAGTCTGAAAATATAAAAAACACTGCGACTTTATATTCCAGCATCAATATTTTGCAGATGTTGGTAGATATCCTTTTGTATCACTTTACATGTAGCTTGAGTTTGTGTGTGTGTGTGTGTGTGTGTGTGTGTGTGCATTTCATGCTTAATTTTGTCTTTGTCTTCAAAAGTTTTCAGAGGTTCATCAGCACGAGCCCTGGTGGCATAGTATTTGATGCATTGTGCTACTAACTGAAAGGATGGTGATTTTAATTTAGCAGCTGCTCTCCAGGAGAAAGATGGGCAGTCTCCTCTTATAAATATTTATAGCTCACATATTTTTTTAAAAAAATACAGGATTTTTTTTTTTTTAAAAAAAGACAATTCTGATAGATATGTGACCTCCTGGAATTATCCTTTATTTTGGAATATAATGTTAACCAAAAATTAAAGATGTAGCTAACATTGAAGTAGAGAGTAGTCAGTAAAGGAAATCATTAACACTGTTTTGAAGAAACAGCAGACAGGTAACAATTGGGTTAAATCAAGCATGTTTGTTGTTGTTGCTAAGCGCCCTCGAGTTGTAGATGACTCGTAGTGACCCTGTGAATGAAAGACCTGAGCATTTGTGTAACTTTCCTCTATCTCCACGTTCATAGAGTCTCCGGAGGCAAGGATAGACTGGAGTAAAAGGAGCAAGCACTGTAAGAAAACTAACACACACATTGTCTCTCAAAAGAAATTAGTAGAAGGATAGTTCAAAGATACAAGAGGGTTTTTTTTATTATACAGTTGTCATGTTAATATGTTGTTAAAATATTTTATACAAATACATATTATTTATGTTAAATTTAGTATACTTCTCAAAAAATCTAAAATACATTTTGTAAACTTGGGAACAGATGATATAGGTGAGAGAGAAGAGTCTTGTTTCACAAGTTAGAGAGGTCAAAGTGTGTTTCAGATATATTATTTAAAGTAAGTACTTTATTGAATAGAATATGAATGTAGAAAACAGACTCAATCTTAACAGCTTTACTACAGCTTCATTGGATATATCACGTCATCTAATGATAAATCATAGAAAAAAAACTTAGAAGAACTCTTTACACTCTGTCCAATCATTATTGTTATCTAACTCTCAAAGGCAAACATTCATGTGATTTTTTTAAACATCATACGTTAGTTTTGCCTATTTTGAACTTTATAAAGATGAAAGTATACAGCATGCCTATTTGTTCAGCATCATATTTTAATATATTACAATTATTTTATGCAGTCTGCTAGTGATGGATGTTTGGGCTATTTCTACATTCTAAATATTTTGCTAGTAACAAATTTTACAAGTCTTTTTTTGTGAACATGTGTATGTTTTGCTAATGTGTAGATGATTAACAAAACATACAAAAAGTAGATCAGAACTTTATAAACTAGGATGAGCTCAGAATGGATTTGTCAAGAGATTGCAGAGATCAATTAGCACACAAATAGATGAAAAATAGTTCATGGATTTTGTTGTTGTTGTTGTAGCATCAAGTTGGCTACCACTTATAGCGGCCCAATAAGCAACATATATAACTTTTACTCTATCCCTCACCGTCCTCTTAGTCTCTGTCATCTTCAAGCTCATCGTAGTCACTGTACCAACCCCATCTTGGGCAGGGTCTTCTCTCTCCCTGACCATCTCCTTTTCCCAGCATCATATATTTTCCAAGGACTTCCTTTTCCTTTTTTCAACATGCCCTTCAAGGGGTATCCTGGTTGTACTTCCCTCAAAACAGTTTTGTTTCTTTGCTTCAATATGTTAACATATGTTGTTATAGAAATTAAAAAGAGAGTTCAATTCCAGTTCTAGTGAGCCAGCCAACACATCAGAATTATCATTCAAGACAGTTATGTTGTGGTGAACTGTAGAGTCAGAAGCCACCCAAGGTTGACCCTCCAGTGGGTTTTCAGAGGATGTTAATCACACAGCAGGAGACTGCCCATTCTTCTTCCATGAAGAAGCTAGTGGTCTTGAGCCATGTGTCTTTGGAATTGATTGCAGCACAGCTTCTTGTCACTAGGCCACCAGAGCTCAAAGACCGAGATATCCCTAATTATTAAATGCAATGTACTTTGAAGTCTCCTAGAGATAAAGAGATTTTGAATTGAGAATTTTAGAAAAAAACAAAACTTTACTTGCATTGATGAACATGATGGTACCCTTTCAAAACAGGCTGAATTATCTATGTCAAATTAAAATATTTTATGCAGCTTAATAACTAGCATCCTTTGGTTGCTTTCCTATTGACTTGGTGATCTTAACCTGACTGATGAAACATCAATTTCTCAGTCACGTATTTAAATGTTATGAGAAGAAATATCCTTTCCCTTCAACAGGAACCTAATGACACATTCTCGAATCTGCTTTGTTTTTACTTCATATACAATAGGGTTCATTGTGGGAGGCATGAGTAGATAGAGGTTTGCCATGATAATGTGGATATGGGGTGGAATGGTGTGTCCTCCAAAGCGATGTGTAAAGAAGGTGAAGAAAGCTGGAACATAGGTGATAACGATGGCACAGATATGGGCAGTGCAGGTGCTGAAGGCCTTCTGTCGAGCGTCTGGTGATGACAGACTCACAACTGCTCGAAGAATCATGGTGTAGGAAATTGTGATGCACAAGATATCAAAACCTCCAATTAGAAGAGCAACCATCAAACCATAGATAGCATTGACCTTGACATTGCCACAAGATATCTTGGCCACAGACATGTGGTCACAGTAGGTGTGGGGTATGACGTTGCCTCTGCAGTATGGTAGGCGCTTTGTGAGAAAAGTGAAAGGTATAACAAGCATGACACCTCTAAGAAAAGTAAGGAGCCCAGCCTTAGCAATGACTGAATTAGTAAGGATAGTGGCATAACGCAAGGGGTAACAGATGGCCACATAGCGGTCCAGGGCCATCAACATTAGTACCCCTGACTCCATCCCAGTGAAGGTGTGAACAAAGAACATCTGGGACAGGCAAGCATTAAAATTAATTTCCTTGAGGTTGAACCACAATATGCAGAGAGTATTTGGAAGTGTACTGGTGCACATGAGCACATCTGTGAAGGACAGAAGGGCTAGAAAGATATACATAGGCCTGTGTAAGACTTCCTCAGAGTAGATGAGGTACATAAGACCAAAGTTCCCTGTAAGGGCAATGCTGTACATGATACACAGGGGGAAAGAGATCCACAAATGCACTTCTTCCAGCCCGGGGATACCATTTAGAACGAATGAAGTGGGGGTTAGTTTACTATTGTTTAAAAATGACATAGTGACTGTTGGAAGTTCACGGTAGAAAAGTTACAAAAACATCTCTGTAAGCAGAAGAAAAAAGCTTCAAAGTAACTGAGAAGCAGGATTATATCCACAATGCAGAATTTAATTTTTCTTCTGGATTAATAACCATGCTTTCTAATAATGACTACATGGCAGCGACTATTTGTATCCATGCCTCAGCCATTAGATTTTCATGGTTAATTTCCAAAATCTAGTGGATGTGTGTGGGTAGGACTTTTTATCAGTCATTTCCATGACTCAGCTGAATAACTGGATGACCAAGAGTGAATGTTCATAGTCTTCTAGGTGCTCGTCACCTTAGTCAAAGGTGTTAAAATCCTAAAATGTTAAAAATCTTCCTTGTGCCCTTTCCACAGTCTTACTTTGTTGACTTACTGACTGATGACAATTTCAATTTGGTTTTAACTTAAACTTCCAGCTTCCAGCATGTAGTAAATCACTTAAATACAGAAAATTAAGAATTTGCTCCTTTGTGTCAATAGCTGTCATTAAGTAAAATCACAGAATGGTCCTAAATGTGAAAAAAAAAAAGCACCTATTTTGCCAACATTATCAAAAGGCCATCTCTCGGTGGTCTTGAACCATAGCCTGAACTTCAGCACTAGAAGCCAGGAGGAAGCATTTTATCAGGAGTCCAGGTGGCATAATGCTCATGTGTTCTGCTGCTAGTTGAGGACTCAGTGGTTTGAGACCATCAGCAGCTCCACTGGAGAGGGCTGTGGCGCTTTGCTTCGATAGAGATTGCAGCCTGGTGGACCTTTGTGGAGCAGTATTTCTCTGTTACCTAGTATCACTATGAGTTGAAATCAACATAACAGGACCTAACAACAACAACAAACATTTTATTACAGAATAAGAACTAAATCATAGTTTAACCAAAGTAAAGAATATATTATGCTATCATGCTCTATTAAGGCTCATCTAGAGGGTATCAAAGTGACAAGAACCTTAAAGGGCAGTAAGTTTAAGTTAGTGGTGAGAAATAACCCAGAAAAGGAAAGTGAGAATGGTTGTACATCTCAAAAATGTAATTGATGTCACTAAATTGTACAAATAGAAATTGTGGAATTAATGTATGTTTTGTTGTGCATGTAGTCGCCATTTATTTTTTCTGTGAATAAGTAACAATAAAAATAAATAATGAACAACATAGAGAAAAAGCCATCTATTAGTCCCTTTGATCTTTAAATAAATATTACAAAATATAGATGGTGAAGAATCACTGAAAATTCAATAACTCATGACATGTTACTACCTTTCTAAAGTTGTTGTTGTTTTTGTTGGTTGCCTTCGAGTCGAGCACTACTCATAGCAACCCGATGAACAAAGGGCCTGAAGTCCCTCTACAGGTATCGGCATTTATCAGAGTTCATAGAGTTTCTGGAGGCATGTTATTTAGGAAGTGGATGATGCCACTCTAGAGAGGCAAATAAATAGTCCAATAAGAACTAAGGTAGTTTACAGTTCATTTAGAATATGGCCTATAACGCTAACAAATTTCATAACTTCACAGAGCTATACTATTGGATTTTTCTCAGTTTGTATGACAGCCAAAGGTAATTTATTATTCCTAGAATAAAACTTAAAAATGGATTTTCAATATCGATTTTTTTTATAATTAAAAACCCATTGTGGGAGAACAAACCAGGATAAAATACTAGCTAGCACAGGAACAGAGATAAGGACAAAGTAGTGATCAAAGAATTGAAGCAAATACGATGCATAAATCTGAAGAAGGAGCCTATACTGGTTTGGAAAACTAGAAATAGCACATTAAGGGGTTAGACATCTATAAAAGGTCCCAGTGGGAGAGAGAGAAATAGGCTATTTAAATGCAAAATATCAAAGTTGAAATCGGTAGTCCTTACTGGATAAAGAAGAAATGAGAACTGTCTATCACTTCAGAAGTGTCCCAGTTGGGAATTTAAGGTTGAGTGTAATTGGTTATGCTTTCTTTACACATATCATTGGCAAAATTTTATCTCTTTATACATTTATTTATTTTAAGGAAGAGAACTGAGTAAATGAGCTCTAGGGTCTCATGAACTGAAAATTACTTCAATTATAACTATGATGCAAAGCGTAGATAATAGTAGGAATAGTATATTACAGAAAATTATGGAAAAGGTGTCATCACTCTCTTCTTTTTCCCAATCACAAGAGAAATTTCTTTTTCTCTAAAAGTGATTATATATCTTAAGAGCACCATCAAGTACTGAAGTAGTTGAAATATGAACTTTTACCCAAAGAAAAAGTTGATAAAAGAAGTCAATATATAAAAACAGCATTATGGTAAGACATTGCATATTTTTAAAAGTTTCAAAGAATAACCCTATCTAACAACTCTATTGTTTATTATCCACCTGTGCCAGCTAACAAAACTACATATAATCCCTCTAATAGAAATAACCACACTAATTTCAGAAATATGCTCACATTGAAAGCTACTGGGATGTCTTCAGAAACTACAAAGGTTTACAAATTAAGTCATATTCACATCTGTGGGATGCTCTTGGTCCGGCCAGAGATATAGATGATCTGTTATACTGAGACCGGCGGGGGAAGGTAGAAAAAAGGACATTTCCATTTTATGTATGTAGCCACTTCTGTGAACAAATATATATATTCAGAAGTGGAGTTTGGAAAGCTTAATTGTTCTCTTGAGTGATCTCAGGGGGGGGAAAAGTATTTCCCAAGTGTATTTAAAAAAAAAAGCATGAGTAAAGAGAGATTTGGGAATCAGTGACTACCATAAGCTAAGCTATTATAGTTTAAGATCTCTTTCTAGGAATGACAAAATCTAGTCTGCCATCCTAGTCTAAAATTTCTGAGGACCTAAACTTCTATAGGTAAAACAAAGTATGTTTAGGCATAAAATAATTTTGGAATTTCATTATTAATTATTTTGGTGCACACTCTTGATTTTTACTTTTTTTTTTTTTTTTTTTTAGCCAGCACAATGTCATATGCAATATGAGAATTGAAAAATATATTCTTTGGGAGAAAAATCACATTATGAAATATGTAAACAATTGAATCTTATATGTGATCCTATATTCAGCCAACTTGATAAATTTGCTTTCAGATTTTAACATTTTTATCTATAGGTTATTTTGAATTATCTAACCATTACATGACAATAGCATATTAGATCACTGCAGATTAAACCAATCTGGTTACTACTTAGAATCTGCTGCCGTTCATTGGGTTAATTATTCTCATTTATGTCTAGCAATTCTACCATCTGGCCCATGATTTTCCAGTCACACTCATTTAATTCACTGATAACAATTATATGGTACATTTTCTCACCATAACACACCTCCTGCAAATGGAAACCATGACAAAACTCTTTAAGACAGCCCATACAATGTTTTAGTGATAGAATTGTCTTTTGATCTTTCATAGTAGGAGATGAGTGATAAAGATGTATGTAATAAACCTAAAAGAAACTTAAAGAAAAATCTGGAAAATGTAGTTATTAGAGAAGAGCTGTCAACTACATCCCCTGAAACCCTTCCAGCTGAAGAAATCAGAACATGAAGGTTATCTATGAAATTGAGTGTGCTCAGAATACTAAAATGGAACTAAACAAAGATAAGGAGAAAAGTATAGAAAACAAATGGTGCCTCTTCAGAGCAAGAACTTCCGTAAATGTGCAGCCTAGTGTTTGATAATCACATGCAAGCAAGATTCTGCTGAAGATTATCCAAAAACGACTGGAAAACCGCATCAACAGAGAACTGCTAGAAGTTGAG